CTTGAACTCCTGACCTCATGATCCACCTGCCTCATCCTCCCAAAGTGCCCTAAGCCACCGCGCCTCCCCCGCTCCCCCACTTTTTTTAATGGTCAAATCTCTGTGTGAGCAAAGTCCAGTGTGACCTTCCCAGCATAAAGAGACTTTTTAGGCCATAAAACAAGCGACCCCCTGGAGGGTGGCAGCAGCACTGTCCTCACGGGAGGATTCTTGCTCCAACATGGCAGGAGCCTGGCAGTTCTCAGTCATTCGATGGGGTTGGTGGTCATGAGGCTGGAGCTCAAGCCAAGCATAGTCCTAACTATGATTCATCAGGATCCAAGAAATCAGAAGCACCGGAATCATCAGGAATTAGACCCTGTCAACAAAGTCTGTTCTTCCAACCTCCAACCACCAGGGGTGCAGACCAAGCTCTTGCTTGAAGTGTGTTCCCTGAGAGTGGCAGCTGCACCTGTGCAGCACTCCTGGGCACGAGGGCGAGCCCAGCCTGCTCTTACGGGGTGGCTTCTCCAGCCACTCCCCTTTTCTCCTGGCAGGGTGGGTCTGGCTGAGGCTCCAGGCATCTCTCACCAGGCCAGGGACAGTGGCTACCACCTTCCAGGCCCCTCAGGCTCAGGGTGACCAAGCCAGCAGAAGGGAGCATTGGGTAGATGCCCCCTCTCAGAGTGACCCTTGCCTGAACCCCTCTGCCAACCTGAAGAGAAGACAGGTGGGAGAGCTGTGGCTTCGCTTAGGGGACAACAAATAAGTGTTTCTGTGAGAAAGCATTTGTATGCGGAAGAGCTGGACGAAAGATGACGAGAAAGGGTGTTCTACTACCTCTGTGACCTTAGCCAATGCCCCTTAGGAGACAAGGCCACCCAGCTGACTCTCCTCTGCTCCAAAGCCGCAGGGAAAGAGCTGGCATTTCAGGGCCTGCTTTGGTCACTGATGTGGCCACCAACAGCCTCACGGGGCACTCTGAGAATGGGTGCTTCTGCAGATGAGCAATGCACCAAGATGTTTTTAAAAAAGGAAAAAGTAGAGACGTGTTCTCATAATTTCTAGAATTATGATATATGCAGAAGCACACTTGGTTCATCACATGTGGTCCAGCTGGGAAAATGTTCCTCACACGTTGTCCCAGGAGAGGGAGCTCCTCAGCACTCTCCTACGGCACTGGGTGATTTGAAACTAATGCCTTTGGTGTCCTGGATGACAGCTCCAACTGCTGTCCCTTTGGTGGGCTGCGGTCCCTGTCACCCAGGAAGAGCCTGGCCCCACTGCCCCTGCACATGGAAGGGGAGGAACGGCCTCCTGCCTCTCCTGTGGGGTCCCTGAGCCCTTATGCTCCCCTCTCCTCCTTCCTCCTGAGGTGCTGGAGACAGATGGCACCAGCCTGGATCCAATTACACTGTCACAGACCCTCAGGGTCCGGGTTATCCAGTTAGACCTCCAACTGGGGGGTAGAAGGCTCTCTTGTCACCCCTCTCTTAACTCCCCAGAGTCAAGTTTACCTTCAGAGAGGAGTGTGTAGGTAAAGTCAAAGGCACACAGAAATACAAAGCCACCTTACAAATACACATTTCCCAGGGAAGGGAAAGAATTTGCTAGAGTCAGCATGAAGAGTGAGACCTGAGTGAGACCTCGGCTATGGCTGCTGGCTCCTGTGATTTTCTGGCTGTGTTAACCAGCTCTAGTACTTCTCTGAGCCTCAGCGCCATCAGCTGCCAAATAGAATAACTCCCACTTACCCTATAGTCACTGTGGGGATTCAGTGATTATTGTGAAGAGTTTTAATGATAATAGGGAAATTCTCATAACAGGCCAACCAAGCCCTGCAGAAGCACACACCATGTATCATTACATATGTGAACGATGAGCTGGGAATGGAGAACAAGGGAAGTAAAAGTCCAAGATGAAACTGGGCTCATCCCCAAGGCTGGCCCTAAATGGCAGAGTAAGGCAACACATCTCAATCACTTTGTTAAGGCAGTAAACAACCTGAATACTTAAGTGTCACAAAAAATCAGAACCCCACGCCCCACCCCCCCCATATCTCAACATGTAGCCCAGTGACAAGCCAGAGTGCAGCCTCCTCGGAGAACAGAAGGGGTGAGGCCCGGCAACTTCTTCAGGCTAGGGGGTAGCATGCACGGCAGGTTAGCTCCCCAGGCTGGGGGAAAATCCAGCAAACACGTTCAAGGGGGGAACTTTCCACTTCCACCTTCACACTTAGCTGAAAGGCCAGGCTGTATTCCTGGAGTATCCTGAGCTGGCTCCCAGGAAACTTACAAAGACATAAAAGGGGCCAATTTTGCCTAATTAAAAGAGGCTGAGGGCACGCACTTGCTGGTTGACAGATCTGTGTGCACAGTAAGGGGCACCAGTCTCAGGGTCTTAGGTGAGTTTGCCCTTGCCTCGGAGACCCTGGCACAACCAGCCCCATGCCTGGCTGGCTTCCTCGATGTCAGACCTCAGTCAAGTGTCTCCTCAAGAGGCCACATGGGGCGCTCTACAAAACAAGTGAGCTGCTCTCTATTATCACCAGCACCCGCGACTTGTTCACTTGACTACTGTTTGTTTTTCCTCAATAGAGCATGGTGAGGGTGGGGCCTCACCTACCACGTATGAGGTGCATTCCTGGTACTCAGTGAACACCTGGCTCATGGGAGGCACTCAAACGTCTGCTGAGTAAATAAATTGATGTTGGACTCTGGAGCTGGATAAGGATGGTTTGACATCCCAGTTCCACCACTTACTGGCTCTGTGAACCTGGGTAAGTTACATCACCGTTCTGATCTGTCAACTCGTTTTTAAGAGAGGGATACCCTTCTCTCATGGGTTCTTGTGAAGATACCTAGAGGCCCACTTGCATGGCCACTGGTAACTGTTATCATCACCATCGCTATTTTATTATCAGTATTATCACTTTAATATCAAAATGATTCTACTTGGACATTCTTGTTTATAGCTGGATTGGCTTCTTATCAAATGAGCAGGTAAAGGAAGATAGTAAAAAACAATTACAAGTAAACTACCACAGAGCAAAGATTCAGCTTTTCAGTATCACTGGGGAAGGAGCTATTCTACAATAGGACGAAGTTCTAGATGTAAGAACCTTTAAAGACTGAAACCTATTTTAACTGTGAAAATCAATAATTTGTAGGAATTTTGGACAAATACAGGCTCAAATCCTAGCTTTTCACCTCCATGTCCTGTGGTCTTGTGTGAGTCATTTAACCTCTTGGAACCTTGGTCTCATTTGTAAAAGGAGGAACAAAACCATCTTCCCCAGAGGTTCTTGTTAAGGAGTAAGGATAATGTATATAAAATATTTGTACATAATAGATACTAAAGATAAGGTTGTATTACACATTGATGCATTTTGAGGACGCTGAAATGTTTAAGGCCATTTATTCCTGTTTTCTGTAGATCTATCCTTGTGTATTTCATTCTACTAAGCATGATGGGTTTTCTGTGTGTCAGATATTGAGAAGTATCACTTTTCCTCCTAAATCAGGTTCTAAAAGAAATTTAAAAAAATTTTTTTGAGGGAGGATCTCACTCTGCCACCCAAGCTGAATTGCAGTGGTGCCATTACAACTATTGCTACGGCCTCAAACTCCTGGGCTCATGTGGTCCTCTCATTTCAGTCTCCAAAGTAGCTGGGACTACAGTTGTAGGCCACCACACCCAGCTAATTTTTCATTTTCCGTAGAGATGGGATTTCACCACGTGGCCCAGGCTAGTCTCAAACTCCTGGGGTCAAGCCATCTGCCTGCCTTGGCCTCCTGAAGTGCTGGGATTATAGGTGTGAGCCACCACGCCTGCCAGAAATCCTTTATATGTTACAGCAAGCTGCTATGAACTATACAGCCACTCCAAATACTTGCAAAGTGAAGATGTGAACCCCTCACACTAAGTAGAGCAGCACCAGCTTTTTGACACTGTTAGGATGCTTCCTTTTCTTATGTCCATTTTCTTGCCTAGATCCTAGGCCAGGGGTGGGCAAACTACAGACCGAGGGCCAAGTCCTACCCACCTCAAAGCTCAAGAGGTGAATTTTACATTTTAAAGGTTAAACAGAAAACAAACCAAGAAGCAGCCACAGAGACCTTATGTGGCCTACAACGCCTAAAACGTTTAGTATCTGGTTCTTTACAGAAAAAAAGTCTGCCGACTTGATTTAGTATTGCCTATTTTACAGTTTTGCTGTATTTTCAGTATAGAACTTAATTATAAATGAGATTCTGTTGATTATGGCTACCTTTCTCTGGAGCCCTTCCTTGTAAGGCTGAACAATTAAGTGACATGTTGGTGCTGCAGTGCTGGGAGGCAGGATTAGATGGGGCAGGAACAAATCTCAGCAGATCTAGCAAAATGCTTTTTAAGGTAGGTGCCGAGGCCACGAACAACTCAGGATTCAGGAAGATGTTTGCTGCTCTGCTCCCACGGTGTAAGGACTGCGCTGGTCCTGGCCTGGCAGCAGCTGGAGGCAGGGACCCCTGAGCTCCAGGTCAGAGCCAAGCATGGTAAAAAAATCCATAGGGGCCTTTGGAGATAGACAGGTCTGACTTTAATTCCTGGCTCTACCTCTTGCTGTGGACAAACACTTAAATCTTTCTGTGTCTTAATTTCTTCATCTGAGAAACGAGGACTAAACTAGCTATGTTTGTGAGGATTTGAGATGCTATGTAGAATACCAAGAACTGTTTCCTACACACGGTAGGTGCTGTACCAGTGGTACCTGCTGTTATTATGAATTACGACGCGGGTCAACAACACACAGTGGAGTACAGTGGGATTCTATGACTGAGTCATCTCGTCACCGACCCAGTTACCAAACGAGTGCCCTGCATCCTGCGATGGACGGCTCAGCATTTTAGTTAGGTGAGCCGGGTAACAGATTCAAGGGAGAATGCCTGGCCAGGCAACAGATTCAAGAGAGAACACTGCCACTTAGGATTTACCTCTCAAAAATGACAAGAGCTAAAGTGCAAGAGGAGAAAGTGACTCACAGGTCTCGGTACTGGTCAAAGGCATTGTTGGCTTCCACCTCCAGCTTTCGCAGCCGAGCTGACGGCATGGCCCCATCCTCCAAGGGAGGGTCATACTTGTTACTCCATGGTGACCTGGAGGGAAGGAAGGAAAAGGACACACCATGAATCGTTCCACGAAGACATGGCCAGTGAGCAGGAAGCCTGGGCCCCGGCTATCTGAAATCTCAGGGGCAAAGCTGCTAGCTGAAGCAAAGATTTTTCTGGGCCCTGGCAACAAACAGGGCTTTCTGGAGGTTTAAAGGGCTCAGATGCAGGTAGCCTGAGCAGACACCCATGCTCCACCTCTCACTGGCTGTGGATGCTCAGCAAATGTCCCGACTCTCTGAGCCTCACTTTCCTCCTATGCAAAATACGGCTGCTACTTGCTCCGCACACAGGGCTGTCATGAGACATGAGGGAACAAGCAGATCAAGCGCCCAGACCAGAGCTTGCCAGACTGTCAGTGTTCAACAAATGCTAGTTCTTTCTTACCCGCTTTCTCAGTTTCCTTTGTATTCACTACCATTTCTTTTTTTTTTTGAGACCAAGTCTCACTCTGTTGCCCAGGCTGGAGTGCAGTGGCACAATCTTGGCTCACCACAACTTCCATCTCCTGGGTTCAAGTGATTCTCGTGCCTCAGCCTCCCGAGTAGCTGGAATTACAGGTGTGAGCCACCACACCCGGCTAATTTTTGTATTTTTAGCAGAGATGGAGTTTTGTCATGTTGGCCAGGCTGGTCTCAAACTCCTGACCTCAGGTAATCCACCCACCTTGGTCTCCCAAAGTGCTGGGATTATAGGCATGAGCCACTGCGCCCAGCCATGTGTTGACCATCTTATAGTTCAACAGAGGTCCCTCTCTCCTCTCTGACTTGCTGGAGGCGCTAAACTTCAATTCCAAAGACTTTCTTACACAATAAGGATTAAGAGAGCTGTCAGTTACAGAGGCAGGCAAGAAACACAGCTCCACAGGGAAATGCTGATTACATTAGAAAACCTGAGCAACCAGGTTCTCCACGTGAACAGAGGATAGCTTTTCCAACATCCAAGGGCTATGCACACATATAAAGACTGCTAAGTAATGAGAACCAGGCTTTTTGCAGCCCCAAAGACTTGCTGTATTTCTTGAAATGTATTTTGCCACATCAGGAAAGCATTTAATCACATAGAGAACTGGAAAGGGGGTTATAAGGGAAAGATCTACTCATTAATTCCTGCAGGTGGGGTCCAGAGGACTGAGCGTTCAGAGAAAGTGGCAGAATTAAAAAGGTGAGAGAGGAATGAAAAGACAGAGAAGACGACATGGAATTCAGAAAAAGTCCTTTACACTCAGGCTAAACGCCTCTGTTTACACAGGGAGATCCACACTGCCTTTCCCGTACCCCCTCCTGGCCACAGACCTTCATTCACATCACTGTTATGTGGAATTCACGTTAAGGGAAAAAACAGTATGCTCACCAAATCCCAAACCCCAGTTTTAACAAATTCTGTGCACAGGCATCTTTCCTCTTGGTAAGTGATGCTGTGCCAGGCACCTACATCAGTAGATCATGGAGAATGAAACCAGAATAAGCTGGGCGCCCTCTTCCACCAGCCACCCGCAGGCAGCTTTCTCGGAGGCTGGTTCACAAATGGTATGTAGGGGAAGAGCTGATGTGCCTGGTGTCCCCAAAGAGTCTCCAGGCCAAGCATTACACTCCTGATCACCTCCAAGCAGAAGGAGCCTTTGGAAACTCTTCTTTCCAAGGCGACCACTTTCCACTGCTCATCGCAGTTTTGGTAGAGACTTTGCAAGAATGGGGTGAGATACTCCCTACTGCCCCACGACCAGCAGCCAGCTCTCATGGTCACATTGGACCATTCACTGTCAGCAAGCTGGGACCCTGTAGCTAGGAATACAGGCGTGCCGCCCACCTGGGTGCCTCAGTTCTCCTGAGAGGCCAAGCACAGGCTGACGTGCCAGTTCTTGTAGCCTGTCCCTCCTCCCTCTGAAACAGGGATGCCCAACAGAACTTCCCGTGACGATGGAGATATTCTAGATTTGTGCTGTCCTAAATAAGTCACTAGCCATGTGTGGCTGCTTGCATACTTGCAATGGGACCAGTACGACCAAGAGACTAAATTCTTAATTTTATTTAATCGGAATCATTTAAGTGTAGGTAGCTCACTCTAGAACCTCAGCTCTGAGGGGCAAGAGCCTTTTCTGTCACCTTCCCTATGAGTTGCTCAGCACCTAGAACAGTGCCTGGCACTCAACTACATGCTCATTTAAAAAAAAAATGTTTTGTTTTTTTTTTGAGACGGAGTTTCGCTGTTGTTGCCCAGACTGGAGTGCAATGGCACGATCTCGGCTCACCACAACCTCCGCCTCCTGGGTTCAAGCAATTCTCCTGCCTCAGCCTCCTGAGTAGCTGGGACTACAGGCACACACCATCATGCCCAGCTAATTTTTGTATTTTTAGTAGAGACGAGGTTTCACCTTGTTGACCAGGATGGTCTCGATCTCTTGACCTCGTGATCCACCCGCCTCAGCCTCCCAAAGTGCTGGGATTACAGGTGTGAGCCATCACGCCCGGCCAAAAAAAAAAAAATGTTTTTAAGAATGAATGTGGCTGGGCACGGTGGCTCACACCTGTAATCCCAGCACTTTGGGAGGCTGAGGAGGGCAGATCACAAGCTCAGGAGTTTGAGATCAGCCTGGCCAACATGGTGAAACCCCAACTCTACTAAAAATATAAAAAATTAGCCGGTGTGGTGGCGTATGCCTGCAATCCCAGCTGCTTGGGAGGCTGAGGCAGGAGAATCGCTTGAACCCAGAAGGTAGAGACTGCAGTGAGCCGAGATTGGGCCATTGCACTCCAGCCTGAGTGACAGAGCAAGACTCCGTCTTGGCACTGGGGGTGGGGGGGGGGCAAAGTTTGGGGGAATGAATTATTCTTGTCCAATCACAGTTATAAAAAAATAAAGAAAGAATGAATTCTTGCACCCCACTCCACAACAGAAGCAGCCGTTCCCTCCCTCCTGCCCGTCCCTCTCGCACAGACGTTAACCCTCATGCCCTTCTTTTCTCATTCTCGACTGCAAGAGGCCTTTGAGACAAGAGAGCCTGTGCTGCCTGCCCTTGTCCCCGGTACCCAGCCCTGAGTCAGCGCCAAGCGGATGCTGCTGGTAGACTGAAGCCTCACAGCCCAGGAGGGGAAGAAAGGACCTGCGGGAATTCTGCTGGTGTTCCGCTCCTCCAAACCGAGAGATGGAGCAGCTTCTGGCTTTTTTATGCTCAGGGACACCTAAGCACTAAAAAAACAAAAACACCAAATCAACAAAGGCCTCTCACCAGATCTGAGACAAAGATCCAGGAGAAAGATGCTGTCGCCATGATTTATCTGTAAACAAGCCTAGGTTGTTCAGCTGGCCAGGGCAGTGGGTAAGAGTCTGAGGGTGTGGAGCTGAATTCCCTCCTTCCCCTGCGTGGCCCTTTGGGACTCTGCAGCACACTCACGCCCAGGACCATTCCCACAGTTAGATGACGGCCACTGCCTTCCTGTGGGCCAGGAAGACCTGACCCAACTGGCGTTCATTCCAAGGCACCCTGATTAGACACAAGAGCCCATCTCTCGGGCAGACTGGGGGTCTGCAATTTTCAAGAAGCCTGTAACTCACATTTCTACTGGCTCACAGATAATAGCATTTCAAGCTGTTAGTCCCGAAGCCAGGGTAATTGTAGCTGAGGGAAATATCATAACATTACCCAGAATATTCTTAGTGGAAGGGGTACTCAGAACACATTTAAGAGCTTAAATGGAGGCCATGTGAAAAAAGACAGATGGACAAGAGAACACTTAGATTTCAAAAGTCAGCCCTTTCATTTCCCTCCGAGAAGGCTTTTTGTTTGAGCTAACAGGTTTCAAACGGTGCTGCTGGCAGCGGTCACACCATAAGGATCTTATTTAAGCAAACCATCAAACACAGTCAGGATGGAAATCTGGGGAGAGAATCAGAAGACCTTGAAGTTTCATATCGAGAAGGAGAGAAAAGAAAGACATACTTTTTGCCTCCACACCCTGGGCTCCTCTCTGAAGGCCTGAGATTCCCCCAGAGCTAGTAGTGGGGCCTCGGGAATGCAGGTGGGGACAAAGGGGTAACCTGGAAGGGCTGCAGGTACCAAGTCTCCCGCAGAGCCTGGCCTAGCCACGGACCTAGACATGATCCCATCCTTCTACCAGCTCCTGCAGAACAGTCGTCTTACACAGCAAACTGGAGTTTTTAGGTAAAAATAATATAGTAATGATATTGATTAAGCAAGACCAGTTCAAGGACCACCTCTTCCAGGAAGCGTTCTCTGAACTGCATATGGCGAGAGTACTTCTCTGCGATGATGTGGTCCCTGGCCTGCCAGACCACTCACCACCATCACCGGACTCTCTCTAAGGCTGGTCCACCCCACTTTGTAAGAGGCTCTCTGGCTGGGCACTGTGGCTCACATCTGTAATCCTAGCAATTTGGGAGGCCAAAGTGGGAGGACTGCTTGAACCTAGGAGTTCGAGGCCAGCATGGACAACAAAGCGAGGCCCCCATCTCTACGAAAAAAAGAAAAGTCAAAAAATTTGCTGGGGTTGGGCCCAGTGGTGCATGCCTATAATCTCAACACTTTGGGAAGCAAAGGCAGGAAGATCATTTGAAGTCAGGAGTTCAAGACTAGCCTGGCCAACATGGCGAAATCCCCAAAATTAGCTGGGCATGATGGCACACACCTGCAATCCCAGCTACTTGGGAGGCTGAGGCAGGAGAATATGCTTGAACCCAGGAGAGAGAGGTTGCAGTGAGCTAAGATTGTGCCACTGCACTCCAAACTGGGCAACATAATGTAAGACTCCGTCTCAAAAAAAAAAGAAAAAAAAAAAATAGGCCGGGTACAGTGTCTCATGCCTGTAATCTCAGCACTTTGGGAGGCCGAAGTGGGTACATCACGAAGTCAGGAGTTCGAGACCAGCCTGACCACATGGTGAAAACCCGTCTCTACTAAAAATACAAAAATTAGCTTGGCATGGTGGTACATGCCTGTAATCCAAGCTACTTAGGAGGCTGAGGCAGGAGAATCACTTGAACCTAGGAGGCAAAGGTTGCAGTGAGCCAAGGCCAATGCACTCCAGCCTGGATGACAGAACAAGACTCTATCTCAAAAAAAATAATAATAATAATAAATAATAATAATAATAATTAGCAGAGCATGGTGGTGTGTACCTACGGTTTGCAGTGGGCCATGTTTGCACCACTGTCCTCCAGCCTGGGCGACAGAGCAAGATGCTCCCAAGGAGGACAGCAGCTGGATGCCATGCCCGTGACCAGCAATTCTAGGTACAGAATGAGCCCTTCAAGGATGAACTTGATCAGCCTCAGGGCTGTCTCACCATCTATATGCTGGGACATCTGCAGTCATATCCCCAGCCTAGACCTGTCTCCTGGAACTCCACATGGTACATCCACAGCCTGCCTGCTATCTCCACTTTGAGCTAATGGGCCTCTCAAGCTTAAACTGTCCCTTTGCCAGCCCCTCCCCGAGTCCTCCTCACCTTAATCAACAGTGGCTCAGGCCAGAAGCTCTCTGATCCCCCTTCATGCCCCATCTCCTCTTCTTCCATCCCTACTCACCTGCAGAGGCCACCGGCTCTACCTTTAAAACTGACCTCAAATCTTACCACTTCTCACCATTTCAACTCTATCTAGTCTCTTGCCTTAAGGAGGCCAAAATATATTCTCTACCTAATTTCCATTTGAAGCTAGGAAAGGGACATGATTATAAAACTGTTGTCACATCTCTTAAAAGCAGTATTAATTAATTAAACTTTTACAACATATGACAAGGTCTGTGCCATTCAACATTTCACATGTGATACTTCCTTTATCCCCCCAATAACCCTATGCTAACTTTTATTACCCTCAGCCTGGCCTTCAAGACTCTGCCAGACCTGCTGTGGCCATGCCTCCACCCTCATCTCTGCCCCCACCACCCGCCCCTCACTGCCTTCTCCACCTCTGGCCTTCTGCCAGCTCCAACCTAGAGAGCTCATCATGCAGGACCTCAGCACCCAGCAGGCTCTTCCTGACTTATGCATGGCTGGACCTTTTCTTTTCTTTCTTTCCTGTTTTGTTTATTTTTTTGAGATGGAATTTCGCTCTCGTTGCCCAGGCTGGAGTGCAATGGCATGATCTTGGCTCACTGCAACCTCCGCCTCCCAGGTTCAAGTGATTCTCCTGCCTCAGTCTCCAGAGTAGCTGGGATTACAGGCACCCGCCCCCATGCCCAGCTAATTTTGTATTTTTCAGTCGAGACTGGGTTTCTCCATGTTGGTCAGGCTGGTCTCGAACTCCCAACCTCAGGTGATCTGCCAGCCTCAGCCTCCCAAAGTGATGGGATTGTAGGTGTGAGCCACTGTGCCCAGCCATGGCTGGACCTTTTCATCCTCCAGTTCCCACTTTTGGGAGAGGCTTCCCTGCCTGCCCATCCTCTCCCTCCCTCCCACAGTCCTCTATATTTCCTTCAGTAAGCATTCTGTGTAGTAAACAAATATTATTTCCATTTTACAGATGAGAAAACTAAAAGATGAGCAACAATAAGTGTTTTGCACAGTCCCATTGACATAGGGAGCTGTGCTGTTTAAAGCCCACATTGGCTGACTCCTGATAATTTTTCCTGCTTCAACTTCCCAGAAGCCTTGCCCCCTCTCCAAAGACAGCATTTGGGTGAAGCTTCAAGACAACTCTGGTTCTGTGGCCTCTAAATAAACCTAAAGCAGGCTGTGTTCCTCTACTGTTCTCCAAGGTAGTAACTACTGCAATTCATCAAGGAAACACTGGACTAGTTTAGGAATTTCCACTCTTTAAAAAACAGAGGTATAACTCTTACATGCCCTTAAAACCCAGCTCAGATGTTACCTCCTTCAGGAAGTCCTCCCGGAATTGACCATGGCCTCTTCTATACTACCCTCCCACCCTGAACAGGCTTTGCACTGGCTGTATGAATCACATTATATGGTTATCAGTTACTCAACGTGTCTCCTATGCTAGACCTGGTGTTCAGACATCCAGGGGAGGGACTAATGTCAACTTAGTTATTTATAGCCTTGGGCAAGGTGACGGAAAGAGAGAAGAGAGCTATGTATCTGACAGAGCTGCGTTCATAGACCCCTTAACCACAGAGTCCCTCTCTGCCATCAGGACTCCCGTCACATATCCTGTACCTTGCCCTTTGCAGAACTGAATGCAACTGTAATAGAACGGGTGTTTTCGGGAACAACATCCATCTCCCATTAGACTGGAAGATCATGAAGGCAGGGAGCCTTTTGTTCACTGCTCTATTAGACTGGAAGATCCATGAAGGCAGGGACCCTGCCTTTTGTTCACTGCTCTATTAGACTGGAAGATCATGAAGGCAGGGAGCATTTTGTTCACTGCTCTATCTCCCATGCTTGTGGGTGGCACTCCTCAAACGTGTGCTGCATGATTGGAGTAACAGATGGAGGGAAGAGAAGAATGGGGAGGATAAGAGAAGAAAAGAGAGGAGGGTAAGGGACAAACAGACAGAAGGCTGGATGGGCTGCCAGCCTGCTCGAGTCCAAGGTCCCCATGCTCTGTAGCAGGCACCCACGGCTGCCTGCTCGTGGCTGCTGCGCCTGCTGTATCCCCGGGGTGTGAGCTCACCTATAGGAGTCCCCATCTCTGTTGTAGTCACACAAAAGGTAATCCTTTCCCACAACCTTGTCTCTGGCAATTTTCAGTGGCTGGTCAACAGAAGACAGGAGATCCTCACATAGACTGGGGACCTGGCAGAGAGAAAGGACAAGGTCGAAACAGAGGTTAAAACAGCATGCCAAACTCAGGTGGCTAACAATGCTGCAGCTGCGTAATGGTCAGAACCTTTAACATCTGGCCCTGGGTTCTGAGCCAAGATCACAGGCCTGTTCTTTTCTTTTCCACGTGTGTCTAACACCAACTATGTCCCTCTATAAAGAAGCTCGTTCTTGAATTACAGTGGAGCGTGATTTCTAATACAGTCTTCCTTCCAAAAATGGGTGTGCAGCTTTAATTACCTGGTCACCAGGGTGGCCTAGTAAATTTAAGTGTGTATGTGCTTGGTATTGGTCTCTGGTGGGCAAAGTACAAGCTGAAGTCCTGAGAAGAAGGTAAACATTTCAAACACACAGGAATCTAAAGAACTCAGAGAAGAATAACTTGTCCGTGCCGGAGAACTCCCACAGGCTCCCATGCTGGGTGGAGTTTCCAATACTTTCCAGGCCCCTAGCCAAGTGTTACCAGTTGGCTCGTAGAGTCAACTCTCTCTACTGCAAAGAGAGCTTCACCCCGGCTCCCACAGCACAGAGCCCCATTGGGCTCACTCCTGTCTGGCCTGCCAGGGGGTCGCCTCACTGAGAAGGATGACCCCGTGGTTGGGGGCTGGCAGGACTTACACCCTGGGCCAGTGCTGCGACTCTGACACAAGGCTCTGCAAGTAACCAGGCCACGGACCTCCTCCTCCCAGCTCACACATCAATTTCCACCAAAATGTCCCAGAAAGGGATGGCAGTACTTTCAGAAATGGATTCCTTCAGGCTTGAGTCACTTCCACGCTATATTTTCAATGTGCTGACTTATTTGTTTCATAGGCCTGGGTTTATGGGGGCCCCACTGTATCATTTACCAGGGAAGCGCCTGCCAGCTGCACCAATAACACTTCCCAATGGAAAAGTTAAATTGCACAGCAAAGACACCAGCAGAGCAGCTCGGCAGAGAGGCTGACAGCCATGGTGGTTCCTGTGTTCTTCCAGAAGGCCCTTGCTACCATCCAAGAGACAGGGACAGGGAGCCCCACCACCACAGAGACTACCCAGCCTCCTCTGCTGCCCCTCCAGGGTGCTTTAGAACTCAGCTTGGAAAGCAATATCCAGCACAACTAAAGAAAGGACTGTAACCCTGTCTCGTTAACTCACAGAATTTCTGGCCGTGGTGAGACGATCTGTTTCTTGCACAGGGGACAGCACTCAGAGAGAGAGATATACACCACCAGGCCCTGTGTACAATGTGCTGGGCTTACAGTTGTGAGGCCTAGGCCTGGCCTGTACCTATGCTTGTTTTCAGAATTCTTTTTCCAGGTGTAACTGCCCTTTCCAAACAAACGTAATAAAATGGGGGCTATTTTCCAAGCTGGTTTTGTTGCTATATCACGCCCCTTACCATTTCCAGGTGCCTGCCACGCACCATGAACTACGTTAGGCCCTTTACGTAGAGCATATCGTTGACTTCAACGCTCACATGCATTCAGCAAAGTGGGTATGTAAAGCCCCATTTTACCCGTTATAGAGTTGAGGCCCGGAGTCACTGAGTTACCCAAGGGCCACACAAGAAGCAAGCAGTGGAGACAGAAAACAAAACCAGGGCCATATGAGTCCAAAGGCCCTACTCCTCCCACTCCAACTTTGGTTTAATGTCCAGCGAATGGGAAGGACAGTGCATGCCAAAGGCACACTCTGGTGGCAAAGAGCCCCCTCCTAGCCCCACCCCTGCTCAGGGGTGGCCACAGAGCCCTTCACCTGGAAGGAAGTCCTGGCTGAGAAAAGGAAGGTCTAACAGCTTCCACCCAAGGCAACTGGGACCTGGAAGAGGCCCTGCTGTGCTGCCACAGCCAGTGAAGCACCGCTGGGCACCTATGCACCTGCTGCCTCACCTAACTCATCACACCTGTCCCTAAGCGTCTCCATTTATAACGCTGGGCTGCTGCCTTGGCTTGTCTGTTGGGCCTCAACTTTTGCCTGGAACCCATTCTCTCTGGTTGGAGTCCTGACACCATCAGCCCAATTTATTCTGAATTACAGCAGAGACTGAGCAAATAGGGTCTGAAGTTGGACTTCCTGACTCCACTGCGTACAAGCAGCCTGATGGCCTTGGGTAAGTCATTTTACTTCCCTACTAAGACTTTGTTTCCGTACCTGTAAAGTGGGGATAATAAAACCAACCCGTCTGGATATCCATCCCAAGGTGATTTTGAGGACCCACATGAGGTAATGCATTCAGTGTTCAGGGCAGAGCCCGGCACAGGGAAATGGCCGTATGTTATCGCCTGACATATTCAGGTTCCTCTATCTTCCTTTAGACAAGATCATCTGTCACCTGTTACTCTCAGATGTCAACACCAGCCTTGATCATACCTGAATTCACTGTGCTGCTTCAGACACGGGGTACAAAGGTACCTGTGAGGATCCGGTGCCTCAACCCCAGTTCCACCTGGAGCCAGCTGCTTCCCTTCTCCCGCCAGGCATGCTGCTTGCAGCTGAGTCCCCCCAACGCAGGAAAGCTCACAAGAAAATGGGGTTTGGCATAAAAGAGGCTTGACTCTACTCCTATCCAAGAGATTAATCTATGAATCAAAAGCATCTACTAATTTCTTCCTAGCACTTAACACCAGGTGGAGTAATTTTTCATTGATCAGTTGTCTGTCTCCCTCACTAGAATGCAAGTTTTACTTGGGCAAAGACTTCGATCTTATTCACCGCAGGATTCATTTGCTGTGCCTGACACACAACAAATGCTTAATATATTTGGGAGGGAGGGAGGGAAGGAGGAGTTTTACAACATGGAGTCTCCCAAACGCCAATCAACTTTATTTTTAAATTGATAAACTGGCAGGTAGGAATCTTTAGCAAAAGCGCTCGTCCAGAACTCAATTTGAACGGATGCCGACAAGTTTCACGTGTGGTTCCAACCAGGCGCTCTCAGATACGAACCATGGTATGGTGAGAAGACATTACACAGAGACACCTGGGGAAGTCATGAAAGCCCTGGCATTTTTATTAATATTTGACCTCAAGGAGCCACAGCAATGGTGGAAAGAACGAGAACTAAGAGACCTGAGAGTTCTAGCTGTGCCTCTGCTCTGCTGTGAGCTGGCCACAGAACCTTAGGCAAAGCCCAAGACTGTTCATTTGTTAAACATAGTCGATGAGCTGCACGGACGCAGACCACCCATGAAGATCTGTGCTCTGTGCTGGGACTTCTGACAGCTTGTATGCCAGGTACTAACCAACCCCAGAGAAACATACATTTAAACTGGGACTCAGAAACTAGCAGTGCCTGTCCCACAGTGAAAAGCCTCTGGACTTGATTTGGCCAGCTGACTCTCCACCCAAGAAGGCACAATTTTGTCCTGTTAGTTAAACTTGTAAGTTGGGCCACAGTTTTGGTCACATTTCCATCAGCCCTGTTTCTTCAGATCAAAGATAATCTGCTCTAGAATAATAACATTTTCGTTGCCATGGAGAATGAGAAGTGTGGAATACACGGTGTGCCCACAGACTTGAACCACAGCATCCACCCAAAGGTGCATTAAGCATGACCTGGCACCACTACTGATCCCATCTCATACCCACACAGTCCCTCTAACCTCTGCCTGAACGACCCTCAACCAACCAGAGGGTCCAATTCACCACTCCCTGAATATGCAAGCTTGCACACGTATTCTTCCACTTAAACATCTTCCCTCTTGAGGAAAATAGAGGAAGGCCGTACAATCTGAATTTCACATACACAATAAATAAGATTTTAGTATGAATACTTCTTAAAGGTTACATGGTTTTTTTTTTTTTTTTTTTTTAAATTGAGATGGAGTCTAGCTCTGTCACCCAGGCTGGAGTGCAATAGCACAATCTTGGCTTACTACAACCTCCGCCACCCATCTGGCCTACCATCCAGCTGCTGATCCTCTTACCTCAGCCTTCCCGTAGCTGAGACTAGAGGCACACGCCATCACACCCAACTAATTTTTATATTTTCAGTAGAGACAGAGTTTCATCATGTTGGTCAGGCTGGTCTCGAACTCCTGACCTCAAGTGATCCACCCATCTCGGGCTCCCAAGATGCTGGGATTACAGGTGTGAGCCACAGCGCCTGGCCAAGTCATGCATTTTTACTTGCTAAATCTAGCAGCCAATCCCCACTGCTCTCTTAAATCTCACTGATCCTTCAGGGCCTGGCCCAAACTCTGACTTCTTTATCAAGATGTCAAATTCTTCAGAATTCCTGCAGTAAGACTGATATCGCCTGAATCCTAAATGCTTTGGGGATGGCTGTTCTAACACTGCCAATGGCTGTCACCTTACTCCTTCCTCACCACTTTGTACTTCTCATTGTGAACTAACGCCACACCTACAGAGGCCAAGACGGGCCCTTCAGCCTCAGCGCAGCATCACGCCCGCTGCAGGAGGGATCAGTCAATGCATGTTGATTCCATGTAAGTGGATATTAATCCTATGGTCTGAGGTCATATTTTACCAGAACCAGAATAAAGGCAGTGTATCTCTATAATCTAACCAGACCCTACACTCATCTGAACCCCCACTCCCTAGTTGCGTCATGTGCTTAGAGCAGTAGAAGAAATCACATTAAGTGACATGGACCATGGGTTTGTACAGCGATTTAAACGAAACGACAGGTCCAAACAAAGCTGAGAGTTCACTTTGGGGTGTGTGTGGCACTGGCTCTGTCACCTCCAAAGCCAGGGAGGGGCTCAGAGGAGGCAGAGCAGTGTTGACGTGCGGTGGCCGGATGGTTTCTGTCTAAACCACCCATCTGAACTGCCTAACGGCCTTGGAGGGAACGTTCAGATAACACCAAAGGTGTCAGACCAATCCAGGCTGTTGAAGGGATTTAGACATAATTCCCAGTGACTTGGAATAATAAACACTGCAATGGCCAGGGCAGTGCCTGCCGCCTTTCTGGCGGGGAGTTCAGGGCTCCACCCGTTAACTCTGTGGCCACAGGAGTGTGCCTACCC